TATGCCGCCCTTCTCCGGAGACTCAGGGCGGCTTACAATGCGTTAACCAATAGCCTTCATTCTTTTGTATATTTTATACAAAGTCAGCTTATTGCCCCCACAAACTGGGTCCTCATTTCACCTACCTTAGAAAGGATGGAAGGCTGAGTCAACCTTGAGCCTTGGAGAGATTCGAACCAGCAGAAATTGCAGGCAGCTGTGTTAATAACAGGGTGCACTAAACCACTGTACTATCAAGGCTCTTTTATTTAATTATAGGCATTAATTCCCCTCCCCACTTTAATCCCACTTTGGATGAACCTTCTAGAGATGCTGTTTGCCTTGGAAGAACATTCTCCCTTTGAAAAAAAAAATGGAATATTTTTTTTTCCCCAAATCAAATAGGAGATAAGAGAATTGGATTCTAAATCAGGATAGTTAAAATTCCATTATTCCTCTCTATCTGTGTTACAATTCAGATTACAAACTTCAGATTGTCTAAGACTTCACTGGAATGTTGTATGAAATGGCTCTCAGCTAGAGTCTTTGACCAAAAATATAAAAGTACCTAGCTGTTGTTCTTACATATTTAGAGCATTCCAATGTTATCTTCAGAATAGCCTCAGAAGAACATAACTGAAGATAAAACCCCAGTTTACTCCTGAATAGGTGTCCATAGGGTTGCTAGATTCATATGTTAAGGAACCTTTGGCTTCTATAGTGCAACACAACAGCTAGGGTCCATTTCTATTTCTAAAGTCCAGCCTCCTCAGATTTCAAAGGATCCCAACTACAACATTTATTTGATAGTAGCATTCAAGTTAAATGTCCAATGGCAAAGGTGGGACCAAGCAAATCTTCTGTGATTGCTGACTATTGCTTTTGTAATTTCAGCATAGTGATTTATTTTCAGTACCGTGTTTCCCCGAAAATAAGACCCTGTCTTATTTTTTTTTGAACCCCGAAATAAGCACTTGACCTTATTTTCGGGGAGGTCTTATTATTTGGGGGCTCGTGGAGCACGAGGGGGCTCCTCTTGCCATCTTACCTGATTTCCAGATCTGTGTTTAAATATTTTTGGGGGGGGTCTTATTTTTGGGGGGGAGGCTTATTTTAGCGCATGTGCTCAAAAGCCCGATTGGGCTTATTATCAGGGGATGCCTTATTTTCAGGGAAACAGGGTAGCTATAAGAACACTCAATTGGAGCAAGCTTTTTGTCCCTTCCGGGAAGCAGGATGATTGAATTCATCTGGACTTTAATGTTCTGAGAATCTACAGACTGACTTTGATCTTTTTCTCACTGCCGGTTTCGACAGGGACTGTCCTGTGCAGAACACAGGAAATTTATTTTTAATCCTCATGCAGAGACTAGCACAATTTAAACAAAAAAGTCATCTGAACAAAAGGTCCCAAGCTTTTGCATGGCTGCAGTCAAAGAAAACCTGACAATTCCTTTTGGACAAGGCCTTAACATCATTCCACAACAGCAATATTATATCATGCCTTTTGAATGTAGTCACCCAAAATGCTTGCACAAAAATTGAGCAAAGTTTGAGACGTTGCTAAACCCACTAATCCAGACATCTATCAAAAATTTTCTCCCTCCACCCCTGCCCATGATAAGGAGAGCAATTGGCAGGAGTTTCTTTCCACCAGCTGGTGGTGTTGGGAAGGCAAATGAAACCAGAGGAAACCACCTATCACTTTTCCTTTATGCAACCCATATTAAAGCTATAAAAACAACACCAACCTGGCTTCATTACTTAGGCAAAACAGGGCAAAGAATCCTGGGTACGTTTCTTCACCTTCAAGGATCAGAAGAAAACATTTTAATGTAGCCACAAGGAAGAGCTTCATAGCTCATTCATATTTAAGAAATCACAGCTTTCCATTATGGGCCAGAAGAAAATATTATGCCTAGCAAGGCTGAGAAAAGTAGAAGACAGAGAAAACAATATGTAAGATGGATAGACAGGATTAAAGAAATGAAGAAATGCCCTTAGAAGGGCTACAAATTATTACTGAAGCCACATTAAGTCACCAGGATTCAAACCAAACATTAGTGACACCTAATGATGCTTTCCATCGCATTTCATTTTGAAGTACTATGGTTCTTGCTCTTTTTAATCAAGGGCTTTATTGTTTTTATACAGAATATTAATTGACTAGCCTAAATTATTAGAACTGTTAAGCTCACCCAACTCCCCAAAGAGAGGCTTAAAGTATATGACTGTCCAGACTAAACAGCATTCCCAATAGTTGGAAAAAATGTTGCATTAAAAAAGACAAATGATATGTGTACACTAGTGGTGGGTTGCCCTCAGTTCGCACGAGTTCTATAGAACTGGTAGTAAAACCGGTGGGAGGCTCTGCCCACTGACCCCGACATCATCAAAACGCTTCTGCGCATGCGCAGAAGCTTCTGTGCTTGCGCAGAAGAGTGCGTGTACGAGCGAGCGAAGCAAGCACATGCGTGCGGTACTACCGGCACACATACCGGTAGTAAAGGTAAGTAGAACCCACCCCTGGTGTACACATGTTAAAACAAATCAAGCATGATTTTTAAAAATATCTGATTCTTTTAACTTTTGCCTTCTCATTACAGATGTCAGTTTGGATACAATACCTTTGCTGAAATTCACTGAAATCTGTTTATTATCATTCCCCCCCCCCCCATCTAAGAGGTTTTGCTACAGCTAATTTATCAACACTCTGCCAGCAATGCCACCTAGAAACCAAAGCTGAATCAAACGATAATTGAAAAAGGAGACTGGAGTTCTAACAAAGTTACGTTCTATAAAGCCTATATCTCATTCTTTCTGTTTCAAGGTCCCTAGAGCCAAAGAACACTTCCTAAATCAAAGGAGGAAAAAAAGGAAGGTTCTAATATGTATTATTGGTGTTCTGATCAACTCAGATACATAGCAAGTTCTTGAAAATAAACAGAGTGTGAGGCTGATTTCAAAACTTGCTTTGTCCTAAAGTCTGATAAAGGATTTCAGACACAAAATAGGATAGAGGGACTTAAAGAACAAATGAAGAGAGGGTGGTGTTTGAATAATGAACTTTCTAAGGGTTGATCTACACGTCCAGTTTTCCATGAATTCCTGAAGCTGGGAGAAACCATGTTGGCATAAACCATGCTATTTCCACAATATGTTCTTAATGGCCATTTGGAATATATAGCTGTTGTCTGTATATGTCTGCCGAACCCTTTAAGACAGTGATCAACAGTGAGACTCAAATACTGCCAATCAAAGGAAAAGCCTCCACCAATTGCAAGAATAGACTGCGTGCTTAGATGGTACTTGTAGGGTCTGGTTTTCCAGCCAACCAATTTTCTTCTGTTTCTTTTTTCCTGGCAAAGGACAATTGGTCTAATGCATACTCTGTGCTAACAAAGATTTTGTTTCTTCAAAGATAATACCAATGTAGTAATTGGTTTTTCAGATGCAGCCACTTCATGGGCTTCTTGGAGCTGGAGTTCAATAAAAGAGGTTTTGACGTATGAGAGAGAGGTATTCAATTGTGGGGATATTTTGTGGTAGAAGCACATAGTTTCTATCCTCAGCTGAAAGTGCAAATGAAGGTCAAGCACAGAGTGAAAAAATGTGAGTGAAATTAAAGAGGCAAAACTAATACCAACAGTTACAGTGACCAGTCTTAGAATTGACAATGAAGATACTGAAGTGTAGAAATACATTGCCAACCGGCACTTGGTAGAACAGCAAGGAAAACTTTGGAAAAGATATCCATATGGCAGGATTTGTCTGTATCTGCAAAGATCAGAATTGTGCAGACAATGGTTTTCCCTGTGACATTCTCTAGAAGTGACTTTGAAGCATCTGAAACAAGGATGTTGGGTCCAATAACAAAAGATGGACAGTTTGCCAGAGAAGGAAAGAAGCCCAAGATTGATTAATATCATGACTGATTTCCTGCAACATTCAATAGAGTGATTTTTTTTCTCTCTATTTTAAATTTTAAAGAATTCACAAGGTCCAGTACTTGAAAATATTAAAATAGTTAATGTTTTTAAAATTGTTTTATTAATTTAATTTTAAACATTTCTATGTCACTTTGAAGCCTGGAGTCCACTCCAAGGGACAAAATATGCCAGATATTATCCTCCTTTCATAGAATATCAAGTATTAATCATAAATAGATTTAAAGGTATTGATAAGAATCAGGATAATTATTACCTATATTGCATTATTAATAAGTTCAATATCATTATAAATCTCTGTGACAATATATTAGTTCATAAAAATTACTCAATCAGTACTGAAGCTTACTAGTCTACCTAGGGTGGGTTTCAAAACCTGTCGCTACCAGTTCGCACGTGGGCGCAAGCGTACTCGCATGCAATGCTTCTGCACATGCACAGAAGCATCCAGGCAGGTGGGCGGAGACATGCAGGTAGATGTCTACCGACATCAGCATAGACAACCAAGAAGCTGAACTAAGATTCTAATTAAGCCTTCTGCTGAAATATGTGAGTTGTTGCTAAATTTCAATACCGGACCATTTCTTTGCCTAATCAAGGCCTTCTTTTACAACATTAATCTGTCCAAAAAGGTCCCTTGCTAGATACAGCACCATTGAAGAAAACATTACAATTCCTTCTTTTGAACAACATGAACAATAACAAATCAAACATACAGCATTTTGCACCCTGAGGTTACCAACAACTTAATAATAGAAGTAGATGAAAGAAGGGGGAAGGAGGCTCTATTATCAAGGTCCTGTTTAAAATGTTCGTTTGAACCACAGGTAGCTTTGGAAAGAATCTCTTGATGCTCTCAGAGCCTGCTCAGAAAACTGAGTTATTTTAACAGCAACAAAAAAAAGGAAACCAATAAAGACTGAAGAACAGCAGGGATGAATAATAGTCATGTAGTTAGAAAAAACAAACAAAACTACGCTTTACAGAGAAGCCAAGATAACATAATCCTAGAAAAATAATGGAAGCTGCAGTACTCTGATAGGTGGATGCTCATAAGGAATGTGTGTTACTTACCACAAGTTCACAAGGAAAGGATGTTCCAGTCCCTGCATGATCTGTAACTCTTTGAAGACATTTCGTACTTCATTCCGTTCCACACATTTTTGTTTATTCATGTACTTCATTGCGTACATTTTCTTGGTATCTTTCTTCTGAACAATGCATACCTAAAGGAATAAGGCAAAGTATCGTGTTACAATACTTATAAAATGGAATGTATAGAATGAATATAGAGGAAATGCAGATTCTTCTATAACCTGTCTCCTGTAAAATCTAACATTTCAGTGCTGCAACTTCATTTCCCTAGTTTTCATTCTTTGATGAAAGACATATGATTTGCCTCTGAAGACCATCTCTGGGGAAATTAGTAGACTTTCTTATGCAGCTGGTTGGCCATGGTGAGAACTAGAAAACTGGACTAGATGGGCCAGAGGTTCAATCCTGCAGGGCACTGCTGATTTATTCTTTATTTATTAATCAAATATGAAGAGCCATCTCACCACAGTGACTCTGGAAGGTACACAACAATTGAATAAAAAAAAAAACCACAAATATAAAAATGACATATATAACATGTCTATATTAAGAAATAAACAGTATTAAAAAAATGAAATATACAAACCCCTAGGGAAAGAAAGAATAAAAATAGTCACCTCGACAAAGGAGCCATCTGAGCACAGCTCCAGTTCCCTGGAAGCAGTGGTGGGTTTCAATTATTTTTTACTACCAGCTCTGTGGCCGTGGCTTGGTGGGCGTGGCTTGGTGGGCGTGGCAGGGGAAGGATACTATAAAATATCCATTCCCTCCCCAATCCAGGGGAAGGTATTGCAAAATCCCTATTTCCTCCTGATCAGATGGGACTTGGGATGCAGAGAATAGATGCGGGCGGGGCCAGTCAGAATTTTTACTACTGGTTCTCCGAACTACTCAAAATTTCCGCTACCGGTTCTCCAGAACTGGTCAGAACCTGCTGAAACCCACCTCTGCCTGGAAACCCCAGGAGTGATAACACACCCAGGTCTTAAGAGCCATTTGGGATGGGGCTAATCTTATTTGGGGGAAATTATGTTTTCCTATATTAATATTTCCACCAGGACTGCTAAATTGCTCGTATTTTGCATGGGAAATATGATGCATAGGAATAAGATGAAAATATTCAATTGTTTAAAAGTTGTACTTCTAATTAGTAATCTGATCCCCACTTGAATTAACCCAGAGGTAGTCAGAGCGTCTATTTCTTAGGCTTCACCATTGTCCAACCTCTTGTCTTACGGATAACATACAGTACTTTTTAGTATGTGGGGCAAGATCTCTATCATTTTTCACGAGTCAATTCTGACATGAAATGGAGAACAAATAAATAAATGAAATACAAGGCTATAGAGAGTCTCTCCCCAATTACATCAACACAGCCCACCAAAAGGCAGGGCATGTTGCAAGCCCCAACTATCAAGGAAGTACATGGGACCTAGAAAAGGGGTCTTCTTGGTGGCTCCCTTCCTTTGGCATATCATTCCCCCAGAGGTATGATTGGTTCCATCCTGTTGTTTTTCTGATGACCTGGTTGTTTTTCTGATGACCTTGATGACCTGGTTTTGTTGGTAGGCTTAGGGATCCCATTTAGAGCCCATCAAATATTTGTCTGATTCTCTTGTTGTCGTTAAAGAGTGGATTGGGGGGAGGTTAAGTTGTGAATTATTAACTGTGATTTTTAATGTTTTGTCTATGTAAATTTGTTAAAATTATGGAGTGTGCGGAAATGGATAAACTCACAAAGGAAATACAAGAAAAAAATGAAACAGAATACTACTTAGTCTGGGAGAAATGGTATAAGTGGTTGGAGGAGAAAAGGGGGGGAAGGGGGGACAAAAGAAAACTAAACAATGGTTAAATTAGGTGGAGGAATATGGAAACAAAGGGCAAGATATAAATTGTGGAAAGGAAATTAGGTACCTGTTTATGTTACATGTATATAAAACATTTAGATTAAGAGAATATATTATGATGGTATATATATGATATACTAGAAATATATGTATAAAAAATATATTAAGATAAGAAAGAGAAAATGTATAAATATGGATTACTGATGCAAAGATGTTGAAAATAAGATGTAAATATCTAATTTTGTTTGTTTTTGTTTGTTTGTTTTAAAAACTGTTTAATAAAAATATTTTTTTAAAAAAACTGTTAAAATAAATAAACAAGTTATGCTCTGGTAAAACTATAGAGCAGGGCCAGATAATGTTTTAAGTAAGTTGTAGCAACAATCCTTGGCTCCACGGCTTGCAGGCTAAAATAAGGTTTCCTTTTTCCATGGAGGAGATTAAACTGCAGAATTTCTGATGCCTTTAGCAACAGACACAATGATATTCATCCTCTTTCTTTCTTTTGCAACCTGGGACTATGTAGGAGATATGATAAGGGATCCATTCTGTGATGGAATCCACAGGAGGTCACATTACTGACTTAGATGTGTCCTGCAGATAGTATCGGATACATTCTCCCAGAACAATACAAGCCAAGAGATTCATGAATGCTCACATCTAATACAATGGCTGAAAACAGACTTAAAGTGGAAATAATTTTTCATATAAATCCTCTACAAAAACAACATGATGGGAATTGGAAGAGGAAAATGAAGCAGAATGCAGCAAGCCCAAATTTGCTCTATAAGAAGGTTTGCATTTACTAGAACTATATACACATACACACACACACAAACTCGGAAGCTTGGGGTTATCAATATGAACAATTTGATATCTTGTAATATTATTTGAAGATTTTAGGCATACAAGGAACAAGGCTCCAGTTGCAAGTCCTTTAGAAAATAAGATTTAGCATGTAGCTCTGGACAATATTTTATGCTTATTTTGTAAGAAGGAACTATTTCTTTAGGTGATTAACAAAGTATATAGTTTGCAAAAACATACCTTTCCAAAGCTGCCTTTTCCAATGGCTCTGAGAATTTCAAAATGATCAAAGGTAACTATAAAAAGGAATAAAATATAAATAATAAATAAAAGCTCAGCAATTTAACATTAAAATCAATAACTTTCAAATTATTAGTTCAAAGTTCCACTTATGGATCATCATGGCTAAAATGTAGCTATTTGCTCCTATAATTTGTTGGAAGCAATATTATTACCCTATACCCGTTGTTTCATAACAATAGCTATATCATGAAGTAAGTGCTCACTTAATCTTCTCTCATTAATAGTTAAATTATGGCTGTATTAACTATAAAAACTTCTCTTATGTTTAATCTTTTCCATCCACCTCAAAAAAGGATGAGATATTAAGCAGATACATTTTTTTTTATTTTCTCGAAACCAGGCTTGATAAGCTGAAATGATGCAAACAATAGAATAGAATAGAATAGAATAGAATAGAATAGAATAGAATAGAATAGAATAGAATAGAATAGAATAGAATAGAATAGAATAGAATAGAATAGAATAACAGAGTTGGAAGGGACCTTGGAGGTCTTCTAGTCCAACCCCCTGCTTAGGCAGGATATCTTACACGCTTCAGACAAATGGTTATCCAATCTCTTCTTAAAAATTTCCCGTGATGGAGCATTTACAACTTCTGGAGGAAGTTATATATATATATATATATTATAAAGTGATGCAAACTTTGAAGGGCTAGAGTAAGTGGTCAGTTGCAATAAGTCCAGGGCTGCCACAATCTCTATGACCAATAAATGACAGTGAATGGTTAAATGTTTTCTGTATATTTTTGCACCTGCATTTTTGGAGGCAAGCTGTGGTAGATGGAGTGGGAAAATAGTCATTGTCTTTACTACTTATTGTTTTGAATTGAAGCTTTGAACAAAAAGTAGCACCTGGGGTTTCATCAGTGCTCCATCTGCCAGGATTAAGCAATTCAGAACAAACTTTTACTTGCAAATACAGTTTAGGAGTTGTAGTGGTTTTAAGGCACTAGGCTAGAAATGGGAAGGCCATGACTTCTAGTCCCAACTTAGGCACAAAGCCAGCTGGGTGACCTTGGGCTAGTCACTCACTTTCAGCTGTAATAAACAGGCTATGGCAAACTGTTCCTGAAATTTTGCCAAGAAAACTGCAAGGATTAATCCAGGAGTCAATATTTGAAGGCACCAAAAGAAAAAGAGGAAGAAGAAGGAGCAGCTCAGAAGATATGGTTGGGGTTTTTTGTTTTGTTTTGTTTTGCTTTGTTTTGGAAATGCACTAAGCCTTTAAAGTATTCCAGGCCTTTTGATCACAGGGAAGGAAGGAAGGAAGGAAGGAAGGGAGGGAGGGAGGGGAGGGAGGGAGGGAGGGAGAGAGAGAGAGAAAGAAAGAAAGAAAGAAAGAAAGAAAGAAAGAGAGAGAGAGAGAGAGAGAGAGAAAGAGAGAGAGAGAGAGAGAGAAAGAAAGAAAGAAAGAAAGAAAGAAAGAAAGAAAGAAAGAAAGAAAGAAAGAAAGAAAGAAAGAAAGAAAGAAAGAAAGAAAGAAAGAAAGAAAGAAGGAAAGAAAACAGGAGCGGCCCACTCCTCATAGCAGGCATATGCTAAGCAGCATTTAAATTTCAGACTGATTAAAAAGACTAAATCAACATGTTGGCCTTAATTAACATGACCTCAGAATTGTCAGGCATTGCCCAAGTGACAGCCTGAAAATGCAGCACTTCACGTTCCATCCATCCCACCAATTAAGAAGCTGGGCAAACCATGCATCTAACCTGTTTTTTGCCTAGGATGGCAACAGGAGAAATTGTGAAGAGGTCTGTAAAAAGCTCCCAAAAAGACAGTGAGCTAAGGGTTAAAGTAACACTGAATGTGGCATAATAATGCCAATTGTACAATGCAGTTTAAAGTCTTTATCAGATCATAAACAAGATGACTGCACGGGAATTGTACAAAGTCAATTACAATTTGTACAGAGCAATCTTCCCAGAATTGTAAACTGCCATGCTGGCTGACTATTCTGGAAACTGCAGTCACACTACACGTGGATGGATAAAACCACCTGTGGTTTGGGTAAAACTGGGAAATAGGTTTTGAGGAGCAAGTTGCAAGTCATAAGAAAATGTGAATGCAAAGACACTGGTGCCTCACCCATTCCACACTACAAACAAAAATCTACTGAACAATATGGAGAGAGAAAAAAACCCTCAGTTTCTTTCGCTGTGATCTCAATAATCTGGAATGTGGCTCAATGTCTCAAACACAGTCAATAACCAGGATTCTGGCACAGAGAGAAAGGCAGATCCTTCACCTTCAAGGAATCGGAAACTATAAATCAAGGGAACCGAGTTCTGATGAATAACATGTCAGAATAGCTATCCTTTGAAATACTGGTCCTTAGACTATACCTGATTGCTCTTTAGAAGTCCAGATCCTGAAGATGAAACTGAAATACTTTGGCCACCTAATGAGAAGGAAGGACTCACTGGAGAAGAGCCTAATGCTGGGAAAGATTGAGGGCAAAAGAAGAAGGGGACGACAGAGAATGAGGTGGCTGGATGGAGTCACTGAAGCAGTCAGCGTGAGCTTAAATGGACTTCCGAGGGATGGTAGAGGACAGGAAGGCCTGGGGGAACGTTGTCCATGGGGTCACGATGGGTCGGACACGACTTCACAAGTAACAACAACAATAAGACCTTACTTCCTCCACTGCCACATCCTTGGAACACACATAAAATGGGAAATTGATTGGCAAATGAGAAAATACTACCAGAGATTACTTCAGAGAAAATGGCTGCTGGGACTTAGCCAAGGTCTTATAATTCATGCCCACCCTAATGCTCCAGTCCCCACCTGGTTAGTATAGATAACTAATAGCTAAGGCCCCCAGATTTGCTGGCCAAATTGTTTCCTTTCCAAAAAAGATGTGGAGGGTAGCCACTACCAGTTATAGCACCCATTTCACAATGGGAACAGTGGGATTGAAATTATTTTCCATCTCCCATCTCACCCATCTCCATGTTGACCTAGTCATTATAAGTTTGCATTTCTCTATTACTCACAAAGATTGTGTCAAAAGGAACAACATTTGCAATACAAACAAGCAATCCCACCCTTGTGTGCTATCAAAATCAGAAAAGCAGAACATAGAAAGCAGAACTAAGCCTCCACATTTGCTAACAAAAATTACCGTAAATAAAGTCTTAAAAGTATTTGCTGTCATGTTATAAACACAAAAATAATCCTATGTATAGGATATTCAAAGTACCTTCTTCCAATTATTTTTAAAACTTTCCAGTCTATAACTCTGAGATTTTCTGCTAATATCCCACCAAAGTACTAACCACAACTGATCCTGTTTAGCTTTTCCAAGTTATAACCAAGAAATTTGAGGATTGAATAATTTGCTCACAGTGAAATAATATCTAGGCTGTATCACTGCAGATAATTTTAATTTTAAATTTTAAAAAATGTAAAAAGTGTTTTAAAAAATTATCTGTATATTAAGGAGAAATGTCCCAATCCTTCTTCCTTTGAGCTTTTCTATGTGAAGGAATCTTTTTTTCTATGAAAAAATGTTCTGTTGCAATATAACATAGTATAGCTCAAATTCTTCATTGTGAACCGTTTCAATGGATCTAAAGAAAGAAGTGTTGATTACGCATTAATAATTGGAAAAAAATTCATTATACTACAGAATCTGAAATAAAACCAAGTACAAAGAACTTATATTACATATTATATTATGTAGCAATTCTAACAAATTACATCAAGAAAAGACCTGGGTGAAAGAGAAGAACCTTGCTTAATCCCAGCAAATTAGGGGATGGAACTAGTATGTTCAAGCAAACAACTTTTGTTTTTAAACTTTCCATAATCACAGCTGAGCCTTCTCTGAGTAGATACTGTGGAAAAATATTGCCATCATTGTTTTCCTAACTGTACATAAAATCTCTAGAGATAACTGTTTAAAGGAAAACAATTGTCATTTTCAAGAGTTGTGGCACTGTATATTCTGGAATATGTTCTAGATAAATATCTAAACTATACACTGATCTTGAGAAAAGGTTTGTGTAGGAAGAAAGACACAAACTCCTTAGTAAATAGTAATGCCCTTCTACATTAGGAGTGTGTGTTTGTGTGTGTGTGTGTGTGTGTGTGTGTGTGTGTGTGTGCGTGCATGTGCATATGCAGCATTCTACCACACTAGACAGAAGTCCTCAGAAACAGTCCAACAGATAGTTTGTAAGATGCAAGCAGGAACAGTGTACACCGACTGGCACAACGAAGTAATTGACATGGTGTGTGTACATGATGTGCACATTGTATGTACACTATGCAAGTCCTAGACTCTCCCAAATCCAGTTGGGATATTCCACAGAAGGTCATGGAGAATAAAAGGGCTAAAATCCTGTGGGATTTCCAGATCCACACTGATAGGCAAGTACTCGCCAATCAACCCAACATTGTGGTAGTACACAAGGACCAGAAGATAGATGGTAATAAATGTAGCACTACCAAGTGGTAGCAACATCAGAAAGATGTACGATGAAAAAATGGACAAGTACCAGGGCCTGAAGGAAGAACTAGAGAGGATGGAGAAAATAAAGGCCAAAGTGGTCTCAGTGGTGGTAGGAGCACTTAGGACTATAACTCCTAAGCCGAGAGAGTGAACCCAATAGATCCCAGGAACAACATCAGAGCAATCTGTCCAGAAGAGTACAGTGCCATGAACAGCTAGGATACTGTGCCAGAACCCTCAAACTCTCAAACCTCTGATACAGGACTTGAGATTGAGGAAGACACCAACCACCCATAGGGGTGAGAAGGAAATTCATATAAAAAATAACGTTGAAATCCAGGTATTTCAAGGAGAAGATTGATCAAGAGATTTGCTAACTCTTTAGATCTTTTTGAAAAGCAGGCACATTTTGGAATTTCATGAATAATATGGCTACACTAGGAAGTTGCCTTTCCTAGTGTAGTCATGGTAGCACTGTCAAGCGCACAATGAAAGAGTCAAACAGATAATGGAGTTTGGAAGGGCATAGATACACCAT